ACTTTCTTAACTCAAACATTTCCACAAACTGCAAGTCACTATAGTGTTTAAACTTGTTATTACAAATTACTTGATTTATCTAATGTATCTTGATATCATCACTGAATATTTTTTCACATCAATTATTGTCACTTTCAGGATAAATGGTAGATGGAAATTTGTACTATGAAACCCAGACTGTTTGTTAATAAAAACAACTATTATTCCTGCGTGTAGTAATACTCATTCAATCTAAATGTGATGATTATATAGCGACAATGTTTTTTAATGTTCTTTTGAGCATCAGTGCTATTGTAGCAGCATAATTACTCTGGAGAAGACATGTGGTATAATATAAATAGGAGTGAATGCAAGAAAAATTTCAGGTAGCCAAGTGTTTAAATTTTTTTATTGAGATCTATTTGTTGTTCGGAACGTAACTATCTGAAAATCTGAAACAGTTAGCTAATCTGATCGCTTCACTACCTGTACTTAAACCGAATGCTCACATATCCCTTAACACTGTAATGAGTTTTGTGAAATATACACTGAATGGTCTAAGAGTAGTAATTATAACAGTTAGGGTCTATGTGGTCTTAATTATTCAATCACTTCTTCTAGAAGTAACAAATCCTTAAATAGAGACTATTTAAAGAAATTGTCTTAAAAATAATATCTGTAGTTAACGCATTTGACGACAACTACCCTCTGTTTTTATTTTATAGCGAACTGACTGAGACAGAACAGTTAATGATAAAACTCAAGCTTGTTGCTTTTTTCGCATATGGACTTAGTTTCAGTTCATTAGAGGTTTCCTAATGATTACCTTCAACCAGTCAACACTACTAAACATTCATAGGGATGCTTATACACCACGGAAATTGGAGATCTTGAAGTCAATTAGTAAGAAGGTATGAGCAATATGATAATAATTACTTGCATCTAAATGATTTTTGTAATTATTAAACTACCACTTGAACATGGTAGTTGGAAACCGACTTCATAAACCTATATTTAATAGATGAGATGAGTACACTAGCTAAATTAGGACAGAGAATGGCAGAAATTCCTTTCTAGATACATTGAATTTAACTAGGGTATGTAACAACGGTACTAGCAACCTTACAGTGGAATAGGTAGTTCTTATTGTACGTAGCCGAATTATCATAGTACTACAGAGAATGATAGGAGCTACTTAAATGGTCTAAGACGGCTTAGCTTCGCAGTGTTGTTTTTGAAGTGGATGTTAATAAAATAAACTCAGTTTCTTGAGGGTATTATTATATATCGTCTAATTTTCAACGAGAAGTGAGTTTTTCATTCACATTTTAAATCTAGTTAAGAAACAAAGAGTGGCTTAATACCGCAATAAATAGCGTTCAGTTTTGAACAAAACGGATTTAATTTTTTGAGAAAAAATGAGTTTCTTGGTGGTTTCTAGAAATGTCACCTAGATAACCGGCTTCTTACTGATTATTTTCAAGTGTTCATTAATATATTTTATTCCGTAATATTGGTATCCAATCATTAGTGTAATGTGACACATCGAACTTTAGAAGGTTGGCATCACTTTTCAATTTCTGAGGATGTTGTAGACGAAATGAGCTCCAAAGCTGTGGTACAGTGAACGATACACTAACCGATGAGTTAATATTAGCTAATATCATACTATCTAGCCTTTAGAGTCAGTCAAATTCTATTTGCCTCATTTTAAATATACCCAATAGACTAAATGATTCTATCTCGCGATGAATGTTTTTAATGGTGAGTCAGTATTGCTCTAAATAGATCAGTGAACGATTCTTTGATGATGACCCAGGGCATCACAGGTTCAAATTCCATAGCAAACATTAGTCTTCCTAAATCTTCATATGGGCCTTACTAATTATTACTAGCCAATGCAAACTTTAAGTTTAAAACATACCGTTGATTGTATCCAGCTTAATAATATCGTGAATGACAGTTGTGCGTGAGAATCTATTAGGCAATAGAACTATGAATACTATTAACTATAATCATGTTTGTAAAAAAGGATTAAATTTGATCGAACAAGGAATAAATTTACTGATAACAAAAGAAATGTAAGTCTATCCTATTTTTTCTTTTAATGGTGTGTTAAACAGATAAAATAAGTAAATAAATAAATTAGCTTAATAATGATAATCTTTACTGATACAAAGAATAATATAGACAGTGTTGAATGTTCAGTTATTCTCATGGGTAACACATTGCTTATTGGTGCATAAAAAAGACATAAAAATTAAAACAACTAAAGTTATCATTTCAATGACATGAAAACCACTACAAACATTTTTCTTCTAAAAAATAATTATCATCTCATAAAGGTGATCTTTATTAGGAATTATTGAATGAGTGAAAGAATAAGAGAGAAGTGAATGGTTAATTTACTATCTTATGTAACTGTATCATTCAACAGTATATAAATTTGTCATTAATGTCAAAAATTTACTTTCAAACCATTGTATTTGTTTCATATTGCTGAACACGTTTCTTTTACTTTTTAAAATCCAGTCAACCTGTAATGTATTAATTCTTATTCATTATTGTCATGAACGATTTGACTTACAACCTTGGAGAGGTTGATGATTATGGTAAAGTTTGAACTGATTGTAGTTGAGAATTTTAATGATTTAAAGACAAAAAAGTAGTATCTCAATGGGTGGTAACTAGTTTATTATAATTTTTTGACTATCGAGGTGTTTCTTTACATGGATATGGAATCATACAACTCAACTATCTGATATTGTATTTATAGACCGTTGTTAACAGTGAAATCTTGAACATACATTTCATCCTATTTGGGACAATTCGATTTATATAGAATCAATGACGTAGCACTTTATTTTTAAAAATTATCAGAAATATTTGGCTTGGTAATCTGAATTACAACTTAACTAGAACGTACTTTGTGACTTAATTTTTAATATTACAATAGAGCGTACACTACGTATAGTTATGAACAGTTAAGTTGTTTTTATTTGGAAAGGAAAACGTTTGTCCACAGATTATCAGACTATAATAACTTGAGTCTCAGTATTTTAATGCTGTATTATGCGGCATTTGTTTTATTATTTACTAATGGTGGCTAGTATAATCGTGTTGTTTAGTTGAGTGGACTGTCGATAATAGTTCGGTCAGTCAGTCAGTCAGACGCATCGTAGAACCTGGTACATGTGTATATGGGTCCAAGACACCATACCCGATTAGCACGGCGTGATGAAATTGTTGGGGAAAATTCCAGAGTAGCAGAGATAGCAATAGTATTAGTGGTAATGCAAAAGTTTAGGTAAGGAAGAAACGATTCGAGAAAATATGATTTAATGAAATTTTAAAAAGACAACATCAACCGTCGAGGTAGTTTGTGATTGGGTATACATAACACATGTCTCAATCACGTTAGTTGATGGAGATTTATTACCTCATTAACCGATTTTCCATTTTTACTTAGTACCCTATCCCTAACCCAGACATTACATATTCGGTGGTCCAAAAGCACATCAGCAATACTTCGAAGACATCACTGATCGAATACTGGCAGCCTACTAATGTTCTCTATCTTTAATGGCTGTTTCACATCCACGAATTAGAACGAAGCAAACTACTGCACAGTAAACTCGCCATTTGGTTGGAAGAAGGATATCTCACGTACACCACAAGTGACGCAAGTTGGCAAAAGCCAGTCAAGCCTTCTGAATCCATGCTGAGATTCTTTCAGATACCAAACCACCAGGACTGATGCGACTCCAAAGATAAGCGAAACTATTAATACATTCAACTACTCCACTTCTTATTATTAACCCAGGCGCTAACCCAACCCAGCACTGGAGCAACGTTATGCATTTAGAGGGGGAATCACATATGCAACACGCTTGCACTGTTGCTTATGGTGGTCAAAAGACTCTGCATTTTGTCGGTGTCATCATTAAGTAGAACTATATTATCCGTGTATTATAAGTCAACAAGTAAATCACTTGACAGAAGACCAACCACTGAAAAGTTAGAGCACTACCTCCAAAAGGATGTCAGTGACAAAGTTAAATAAAAATTGTGAAAGCGGATAACCCTAACGAGCACCACTTGAAGTAATCAGTTTCGGTGACAGTTCACTATAAGCTCTGACTCGACCAGTAGTCTTCGAGTAGTGAGCCTGTGAAAGCTCAATGTATTTCTTTGGCATACCTTTCACCGAACGGCACTGCCACAGGATCTCAAAAGAGTTGAACGCCTCCTTAAGGTCGGGCAATATAACTATTGTTGGACATCGAAAAGTATATCTTCATTCCATAGCCTACCAAATGCTGGATATTTAGTTTATACATTCACATTCAAGTCCGAAACTACCCCTGGTGTTCACTGACTTGTTCTTCACGGCCCCTGTTTAAGCGTCGAAGTTGAGTATGAAAGGAACGATGTCAGCTGGAGAGCTATTAAAAACCTCACCCAATACTAAACCAGTGAGATAGGTCGCACAATTTGCGAATTACTTTCAGTCCATTGAGTTGGCTTTCAATCCCCCATATTTTCGATTTCAACCACAACCATCTTCTGACTGAAATAATCTCTAGAATCCATTCAACTAAATAATAATTGGTAATACCATAATAATGAAATTAAAACTTAATGAATAATGTCATAATCCGAATCATTAATCTCTAGGTTATTGATCAGACTCTACATATCCAAACGTGAAATTCAACCACTGACTGAATAAACTATTCACCATAACAATATTAAGTTTTGCATCCACCTGACGTGCACATGAGAGTAATACACAACTGTTAGCAGTTCAGTATGCTAACCAACCAAGTCGTACCTTTCTATGCCAATCTAAATTGATTATTCTTATTATATAAAAACAACAACTAAATGATGTATAAACTGTGTTAGTTTCATTTTTATAACAATATGCGTTAAATATAATAATAATAATAATAATAATAAAATATAATAATAATAATAATAATAATAAAATCATAACGTATGAATAACAAAATACCTACCAGTATGTTCAGTTCGTTTAGGTGTAATTTGCTTTCTTCTATGCATTTTAGAATTTATATCTAAATGAGTTTGTATTGTCATAGTTAATCAAAGTAAAATCCCAAACATGGGAACATGTTATATAATTATTATTGACTAAATGTGATTTAATTAATTAAAATGAGTAATGTATGTTACAGGGATTCTGATAATAAATTATTGTGTTTCTTTTCATTTGTCAGTGTAATTACTATTGCTGATCTTGTAGATAGTGTCTGATAATAATCTGACTTTGATGTATTTCTAGGATCCACCTTACTGATTAGCTTTAAATTTCCTACAAGGGAATAAACACAAATAACATGATATGTACAATTTTTTCTCTCTTTCTCTTTTACATGCACAATCTCTGAGTTCTTCAATTGGGAATAAATTTTCTAAAAAAAATTGAGCGAAATGTCTTTTTAGTGTTAATCAAATATCAAAGTGCATTTACTGTCTAACAGGATTATGATAATAAAGAGCAAGAAATAATTATGTATTATTGTTTATTTTACTTACCGTTATTAGTTTCGTCTAAAATGAAATGATAATTGAAATTTGATTCATGCGGTGAATTTTTATTTTAAAATATAATCTTTATTATTTAAATGAATGAACACATTTACGCAATCACCCCTTTATTGAAATCGCTAGTTTCTAATTTGACATGTGAGATTTACACAATAAACATGATAGGCATTTGTTATCATTGACTTTGTAACTAACCCCCTCTGTTTCTTTTTAGATATGTGGTTATATTAATTAGTAATAAATAAAATTAGTCAATTATAAGCTAAACACAGACAGACATGTGCTTGAAAATGATAATAAAAAAGGCACGCTTTGTAATTAGCTGTAGTATATCAGTTACCTATTTCAGTTTTCCTTCATTGACGATAATAATATTAATAATCATAATATTCTGTATCGCGTAATACATTGTCCGAATGGATCTTTGAAAGTAGTCAGTAAGATGATTTCTACTCGAATTTCCTCCTCATAATAACACTTTTTGGAAAAGAGTTAACTTATTTAAGGAAATTCATACGTCTGTCCATGTGTAATATCCGTTGGTAGTGGAAAATATGAAAAAAATATTTGGTTTTATTTAAAAATTACCACCTGGACTTTCCCATATCCTTGTGATCATTCTACCAAGCGAGGAACTGATTTATGATAAATAACTACTATTCTGCTGATTTTAGTTAATATAAGAGTTTTGACATCCATATTCTTTTTACCTTTTACCTCATACTCACACAGCTGAAATCATTAATTCACGTATAATTTATTGTGTATCCATTTCAAATTAACTTAATTACACCTGCTACCTCTAGTGAAGGAGCATAAGCCACTCACCAGCATTTTCCATCCAGCTCTGTCCTAGACAATCCTTTCCACTTGTTTCCAGTTGCTTTTCATTCTTTTGATGTCTGCTTCCAATTCTCCTCACACTGTTATTTGGCCTTCCTCTTTTCCGTTTTCCTTCAGCCTTTTATGTTAGCACATGCCTCGTGACGCAGTTTGATTTTTGTAATGTATTTCCTATCCATCTCCAACGTATTTTCCTCTTTAACTGGAATTCCGTTTGGTCTCTCTTACAGTAGGCTGTTGCTGATGGTATCCGGTCAACGAACATTCAGTATCTTGTGTAAACAATTGTTTACAAATACCTGTGCTTTCTTGATAATGGTTGTAGTAGTTCTCCAAGTTTCAGCTCCATACAGTAGAACTGTCTCGACGTTCGTATTGAAGATTCCGAGTTTGGTGTTGGCTTGCAAACAGTTGATTTGAGTTGCATATGTTCCTCAACTGTAGGAATGCTGTCCTTGCTCTGCCGATCCTCATCCTTACAGCTGCATCCGATCCTCTTTGTTCATCGATCATGCTGCTGACCAGGTACGTAAAACTTTCCACCTCTTCCACAGTTTCTCCATCAAGTGTGATTGAGTTGGTGTTCTCCGTGTTGTGTTTGAGGATCTTGCTTTCTCCTATGTGCATGTTGAGGCGTTCTGATACAGAGAGTAGTTAGCCTTGTCCGATTCCGGCCCTAACTTGGAATGAGTCTGTCAGGTGTCGTCCATGCATGACTTCGCAGTGTATTCCGTCATATGAATTCCGGATGAGGTTGATAATTTCCTCAGATACACCATAGTGTCGAAGAAGGTTCCATAAGGTTCTCCTATACATACTGTCAAACGCCTTCTCATACTCAATGAAGTTGTTATATAATGACGAGTCCCATTCAATCAATTATTCAACGATGATCCGTAGTCTCACAATTTGGTCTGTGCACGACAGGTCCTTACGAAACCTAATGATCTAGAAGCTGGACGTCTACTGAATCCTTCATCCGGTTCAGCAACACTCTGTTGAAAACTTTTCTTGGTACTGACAGTAGTAGTGTGACGCCTCTGTAGTTCTCACATTTGCTCAGATCTCCTCTCTTTGCTATCTTGATGAGGTGTCTTTCTCCCCAGTCTGTCGGTGGCACTTAGTTCTTCTTACGTAATCCTTCTGAATAGAATGTGGAGTATATTTACAGTTACTTCTATGTCTGACTTCAGTGCTTCGGCTGGTATGTTGCCAGGTCATACTGTTTTCTCACTCTTAAATTACCTGATGGCACTTTCAATGTAAGAAGTAGTCTGTTTCTCGATACCTCTAAAATTACCATGTGTTGATCGATCCTATAGAGAGGTTTTAAATTTATAGTCGGTTATAAATAAACGTGACAATCAATTCAATTTGTAAGCGTTCGAATTAGCACACTGTTTTTGTTTTTAAATATCGACATTGGAATCCAGGTGCATCCAGCAAAAGTTGTTGTCCACAACCATTCGATAAAGAATAAAGGATTTATAATATTCTTCTTTGGTTTCAATAACTTTGATATCTCCTATAAACAGATAATCAACTGGCACCACCTAGGTAACAGCTTTATAAAAAAAAATTATTTGTAAATTATCCTGTCGGTTCGTAGTACTTTATTATTTCCCAGATCGATAAATTCAAAATAAATTAGGTCCACAATGTTTACACGTAAAAACTTCTTAAAATACTTACACTTTTCTTGGTTGTCCAGTTAATATCTAAATAGGTTTGACTCACAAAACTTGAACCTCATTTAGATCTTAGAGTTGAATCTTATCATCTCACCTCACCCAGTTAACAATATAGATGACTTCAGTTATAATTCATTTGATCAATATACTTTTATGGAAATATCCTCAATCATTTTATTATAACTTTGAGCTTTTGGTTAAAGCTAAGTGATATTTTAAAATTGTATGAGATGTTTACAATTTTTTGCAAAATTAAATAAACAGTTTGACGTAAACCAGGTTTACTGAAATCGATTTCAAGGTGGCTTTATCCACGGATTGATCCCGATTGTTGGATCACAAAAAAACTAGGAGTTATTTAATCAGCTTGTGACGAAAACCATCTCGAAACTACAGTAACCATCACAGTTAGGTAACTGAGTGAAACCATAACGACCAGGTTCAAATGATTTCATTCTACTCAATAAATGATAATCATAACTTTGCAAATATAGTTAGTCATGGCCACACTATTTAATTTAATCAAAATAAGCATTCAAGTAATTTGAACTTCCTAAATTACTTAACCAAACTATTGATAATATTGATAGATTGAAAAAGAACTTTGGACTTGATTTCCACTATGATCTTAAGAACCAATTACTTCAGAGTTCAAAACCATATTAACCAAGTAATTATCTTTAAAAAAAATACGTCAACCAATAAGTCGATCTGTTGAATCATATTGATGAAGTATAACAAAAAGCTCAGGTCCATAGGAGAAAATAAACGAAAGAAAAAGACTACAAGTAACACGACAAGACTGGAAATGAAAACGATGCATGAGGATATTAGGAAGTAGAATAGTTATTCGTATTCATTATATTTTCCACTAACTAATTTAAGTGTTTTTGGGGTCATTTTATTCGAAAACTAATTTCAGCGTACACAATATTTATTGCAATAGGTCATTATGTAAGCAATACACTTTACAATTAATGTCATATTAATTAATACAATAATTGTCTCACCCCTTACAAGCGTGTGCCTTTGTCACATGTGGTCTTTAATTAAATCGGAATTGAAATGATTATTTAACAGTAAATAAAATAATCCTTTTTTTGTAGAATGCATGCCATTAGTAAGAATAGTATGTATACTAGAGATCTACAGTTTTCCTCTCATTTTACAAGAAAACAAAAATTAATTAACCGACTAAATTCGCGTGGTATTGTTTACTTGAATCTTCCTATTGATGTTTAGAACTGTAATTGGTCAGTCTCTTATTGACATATGTGCATACTGTGTGTATTGCCTCGATATTGCCACAGGTCACAGGCATTCTGAGCAGAGATGGATGGTGGCTAGTAACGGAATCCAGGACAATTATGCAGCGTGCGCAGTTAAACGAAACGAAAATAAGCAGACACCCGCAAGTATTTTTAGAAGACAATTCCAATTTCTCTGAAACTAACAATACTCGAAGACCATGATCACTGTGTTGTGCATCAGTAGCTTACAGTTAAACTTCTCACTGCAAAGTAAGAATTTCACGGATTTCGTTTTAACGAAAAGGTTTAAACTGATCACTATAGTGAAAAAATGGGTTTGCATGAATATAGTATAGTATAATTGGGATATGATTAACAACAGAATTCGGGACGGACGTTTAGTTCTATTCGAGACTCTTCTGCTGAATATACTTGCATCCCAGTGTTGATGTTCATGCTGAAACTTGAACCCAGTATCTTTCACTTTAAACATTAACGGATTATCTACTGAGCTAATTAGTCTAAATAGCCATTAATTTTTTCAATAGATGTGATAATACTAGTAATAGCTTGCAACTTTCAGTCTTTGAAATTTAGGACTGCAATTGATTAGTAAGTACGTCTACATGTGATCATTATAACCATGTATGCACACTCACGTTCCAGTAATTCGTAAACATCAATCGGTAAATCATCGAAGTTGTTTTCTAATGATTATTTAACATTATGAAAAAATTTGTTCTGATTTCCAGATTCATAAACTTATTGAAAGTTGGAATTATATATATGTATATATTATCAAGGTAATGAAGTTTGAATAGGACTGGCTGATTTTTGTGTGAAAGTTACAAAATTTCACAAAGGAGATAACAAACTTATATTGTGAATAGCTACGAATTAATTTCACATTTGGTTCACTATAGTTCAAGTTAGTACTGTTGTGTTCTCCACGAAAAGCAAGTTATAATTTCAATTTTTCCTGAAACCATTTGATAAACAGAATATACAGTAACATGAAATCAATCATTAGTATAGTTCTTGCTGTAAAATTGACTAAATGCTTTAATGAGTTATTTAGATCTACACTTATAGAACCTTATGCGAATTTACCGAAAAGAATATTCTTCCTTCATGTATTTTTGTTTTAAGAGAGAAAATATAAATATATTTACAAAGTGAAAAATGTTAAAAATAACTACGGTTAAAGGAATGTCATTTAAAGCGTAGTGGTGTTGTATACCGAAAAGATC